TAGGACAAGGTAAAGTTGTCTGGCGGAAATCAAAATAAAAGATTAGTTCATTGTAAAAACGACGATGTAAAAATTCTTATAATTTATAACAGAATAATAATAAAAATATAGTGTTAAATTAAAATGACCACAATTTAATTGAGGATAGTTAGGAAATATCTGTTGGATATTGCACTGTGTATTGGTACCCATTTTGGGTATGTATCCATACATTTTAAAAGTCGTATGTATACCTTTATTTAACGATTTGTTTGGTGTGTGGACAACAAATCACATGAATACTCTATGTCGGTAAGAGTTGCAAGTAAATGTACACCATGAAATCTACCAAACTTCTTTTAAGATTGTCCTTCAGGTATCAAAAAAACTTCTACCAATAAAGCTCCTTTCCTTTTCTTAAAAAAGAAACTCCAAACAATTTTTATATACCATAATCATTATTCGCTATTTTTTTTTTTATCGATTCTTCAAGAACCCTATTTCAAATATTTCACCCATGATTCATCGATGTTTGTTCTTTCCTTTATATTGTAACAAACTTGCATTATTTATATTTACCAATTACAAGTGGTCCAAAGGTTAAAATATTAATTTTGTGGATTAATAGATTAAAATTCGAATCTTCGTGTGTATTCTGTTGCTAGGGCCTAGGTGCTAAACTCTTTAAATCACTATCGTATTTTCTAGTAAAAATTCAAAAGTTTGTCGTGATTCATGGTTGAGTATTAAGTATTAGCCAAATTAGCTCAAGTATATATATGGAGAAATAACGCCTTCAACATTTTTCAATGCATGAAAACAAAATACTTGAATATTATTTTGGCCATATATAGTCTGTAATTTTTGAGTAAAATAAACAAAAGAAGTATGCTGGTTACTTTTTTATTTTTACAACGGTTCGATTTTAGTCATTTGTAAACAATTTGTTTTAGGAAGTTCGTTATAGAGTTTCAATCCAATGATTTGTTCGATGTTAAAAGCGTTTCTCAAGAAACTATATGTTTTTTTTTTTAAGAATTAGTTGGTCGCTGCGATAAATAAGAAACCTTGAATTAATGAAAACGAAAAGAAAGAAAAGATAGGTTTTGTCAAAAAGAAAAATTAAGAGATTGGTATTTGGTGGTTGGGAAGGTAAAAAAGTCACTTCACTTGTTAGGGGAAATCATTTAAGGAGAAGAAGAAAGCAGGTAGAAATCAATTATCTATTTTTCATCACATTACAAACTCCACGTGAGTATTCATTCACCTTCCACTATTTTTACATTTCATTCAAATATATAATGTCTACACTATTTTACTACTATGTTATTATTTACATTTCATTCAAATTTATAAATGTCATTATGATTAGGTCATACTGAGATTAACAACAACTACCATATGGGATTAGCGTTTGATCATGTCGATCGATATAAGAGATCGTTTGCTTTCCGTATCATCTAAACACCCAAAATTTGATAATACATATAAGTTAAATTAACATATCAACATCATTGTAAGATTTAAAGACAAAGAATACCTAACGAACTTTTTTTAATTTTGGAAATCCTAACTAACATTTTAAAAACTTATTGATTTCAGTATCCTACTTTGGATGCTCTTTCCTCTTTTACCAAACTCAGTATGACACATACTATTTTCTGATTATTATAAACATAAATGTCTATAATTAGATGCAGTACGAAACCATCATACTTTGTCCAGAAAAACAAAAATCCTTTCAAATTAGTAGTATTACTTTACTCCACAAATCTATTTTCTACTTACATTTACATTTAAGCTAATTATTGTACAAATATATACACCGTAAACGTATACACTATTTTTAAACCAATATTACGTAATGTTAGTTTCTAACTCTTATGAATATTAAATTACAACAAAAATTAAAACGCATATAGCCATTCAAAACCCGAACGTGTTTACATAATCGTACGTTATGTAGTAACTATGGTTTCACACCTACTTGGCTTAAGTACACTCGGGGTTTGAACAAAAAAAAACATAAATGCTATATAACGTTTTCACATTGAGATTGTGAAGGAGAGATGGTGTGAATGAATGTTGCAGTTTATAGGTTTTGATTATACAAAATATAAAATAAAAACAAAATACTGATACTCAAAATTTTAATTTAATTTAAAGAAGAAAAAAATTCATAAAAATGGATCCCACTAGCCACTACTTCAAACGTGTCTTACCAACTCTCTTCTAGAAACAAAGCAGGCTTCACCTTCCTCCTCCAACCTCTCTCTCTGTCTTAAACTTCTCTCCATAAAACCCTAATTT